CTATAGCGCCTCAATTATGGAACTCATTCCCTAGAGAAGTGTGCTTGGTGCCGACACTTTATTTGTTCCTGAACCAGGCCAAAAGCCTTTTATTTACCCAGTCTTTACATTGTTAAATGGTTTTTTAATTACTTTGGATTCAATTTCTGGCACTGAGGAGATTTTAATTGTTTAATTGTTGAATTAACTGGGTTTTTAAAAATTCAATAAACCATCATGAGATTTTTATGAATGACAGTATTAATTTTTTAAAAATAAATAAATCACAAATGTCTTGTGGATGGCTTATTTAAATAGATTAAATAAGTAATACATGTCATGAGCAGAAGTAGGACTCCTTTCCATTAAGAGCTCACGAAGCTACCCTTAAATGGGTAAAAGCTGCAGATTTTTGCCTGCCAAAGTGACTCTGGCAATAGTTAGCAGGTGATAAATTGCTGAAATAAATGGTTTGAAAGGTTGCTTTTAGCTTATGCTCTACATACAGTTATGTTGATCACAGAGGATACAGCAAGAGCAACCAAACTAATTAGAAATCAGATATAAGGTGTGGTAGTTGCTTGGATATGGAAACCATTTAGATAAGAATGGAATATTGAAAATATTGATTTCATCAAAAATGGACCACATCCAACAAAACTATCTTCAACATGCACTCTCAGATAAAAGCTTTTACGAGATTTCATTTTGAAGCAATACTGTTGGCTTATTCGGATGAATGATGCTAAAATGCCAGTAAATCAATTCCTGTGTGTTTGTAGGAGCAATTCAGGATATTGTTCATTACAGTTTATATTCACTTTTTACAAGACTTCAAGAGAGAAATGCTTTGGAGTTCATTAAGATGTGACAGATTTTGTATGTTTGGCTTTTGTCATCTGCTGTAGGTAAATAAGACACCATTCCTTAAAACAGTACTACTTGTAGTTGTTGTTGAGAAAACAAGAAACCACTATATACAACCTATTGAAGTTTCTTGCTGTGGACACCATCTGCTTAACACAGTTTATTATTTTAAATATATATATATATAGCCTGTCTATTCCACTCACAATACTTTCAGAAACATCTCCCGACCAAAACCAGTGTATTTTTATCTTGGCGTGGCTCATTTAGTCATGCTCATTGTATACCACCCTGTTATCTAAAAGGATGAAGTCTAAAAATATTTGAATAAAATAAATTAATAAGAAACAATGCTACAATGCCTTAAAAACAGCCTGGAGCAACAGCGTATTAAAATCCAACCTATTCCAGAGGATTAAAAACATCTTGACCAGATAATGGGACGTCAATGGGAAGAATCCAACTAAGAAAGAAAATTCCACCATTTGGGTGCAGGTCACAGAGAAGACCCTCTCATTGTGATCTGATTTTTTCCCTTTTTACCTTATCACTTTATGTAATTCTCGTGTGCTTGAGACTGATGTTATTTTCGGAGTGTTCTAAAGTTACTTTTCTGTTTGAAGAACTTTATTTTGCGAAGACTAGTTGTTTTAAGAAAGCAAGTGGATCTGACTGACCTTGACTGGGAGAAAATATTTGAGGAGAGGAGATGTAGGAAACAGGGGCAGGGGTTCAGATGACAAGAATTTCAAATATATGTTAGTTTGAGGACATTAGAAGGTAGTGGCTTCTTTATAAATGTGTATAATCTGCACCAAGCTACAGACATGTGTGCTTTATCAGACTAAAAAGGGCTGAGCTTCTGAGTGTGAAGTAGAGGTGTGGAATAGCTAAATTGGAGTCTCTTATGCTGTTATGAAAAGTGGGGGGAAGATTTGGGGTGGCCTTGACAGAATAAGGGGAATGGATTTTAGGGAAGTTTGTGCTGTCAAAAGGTGGGAGATTTAAGCTGATCCTGAAACAGTGGGTGTGCTCACATGTCATGGTGGGCCACTCTGGAAAGAAGCCGTAGCAAGTTTGCCTTCCATGGCTCAGATGGCTTGTCTGTTACTCACGACAGAGAAGTGCCTGGTTGGTGGTTTCCTGTGCTTGTTTCTCCTTCAGACCTTCCCAGTCCACCAGCCCACTGCAACCCATAACGCAGGGGGCTTTGCAACAGAAATCTTCATTTCCTTACTCCCTGTATCAGTACTCATTCTGAAGCTGATTTTCCCTCCTACATCCGTTCACAAAAAAGAAATAATTTTGGAGCCTTATACATGTGGGAATGCATTTGTGAGCTTTTTTAAAAAGGGGGGCAGGGGCTCTTGCACAAGGGCCAAAGATCACTTGTCCACAGTTTAGCCAACCTTCCCTTATCTCTTCCTTTATCTTGTCATATCTTCCAGTTTGGCACTGAAATAATCTGCTGGAAGGCATCATCACACTTCTCTTTTCTGTCTTGAAATTGTGCAAATTTTCTCCTCCATTCTACTGCGCTACCATGAGATTTTGCAATTTTTATGCTTCTGCTCACTGTTATCTACATCTGACAGCTGGCAATAGAAAGAGCTGGTCAGCAAGGGCAATGAAAAAGCTCTGTCACCATTTATGACCTCAATAGTGTGGCTGCCATTTTCTCTCATCCTTTCTCAGTATTGAATTTTTCCCCTAGGAATCATGAGGAAAGGACACCAAAGAATATCTTTTATACATCCACAAGTTTTTTTTACTTTTACTTAATTTTTTTTGCACCTACTCAAATATGCAGGAGTGAATGGTTGCTATTAAGAGAGAAGGAAGGATTAAATTTAAAAGGACAATGACATTTTGTTTCAAGAATGAAGTATAAAGTGAAGCATTCTTTATAAAGAAAAGTGTTCTCTAGCAAGGAAACCCTGAGGTAGAAGACAGTGGCAAAGGAATTGAAAGATTACTGTTTTCCTGCTGTGCTACACAGTTTGTACACATTTCCCATGTTTAGTTCAGTAAAGCCATATTTATTTATTTGTTTTTCGATTTATATCCTGCCTTTTTCCTACAAAGGGCTCAAGGCAGCTTACATCATTCTCCTCCATCTTATCCCCACAACAACAACCCTGTGAGGTAGGTTGGGCTGAGAGTCTGTGACTGGCCCAAGGTCATCCAGTTGGCTCCATGGCTGAGCGGGGACTAGAACCAGATCGTCTGAGTCCCAGTGCCAGCTCTTAACCCACCACACTGGCTCTCAATATTCCTATATTGTCAGTGTTTTGTCTATGTCATTCTTCATTTTTTGCTGTCACCTCCATTTGTCCTTGTTGCTTTCCTCCACTGCTAGGGATCACTGCCATTCTCCTGCATTCTTGTCAGTGCCCTCAGCCTCTGCCCCAAACCCTTCAAATTACACAAAGCTTCTCACACATTTTATCAAAACAAGACAAAACCTTAGAAGGTGGCTGAATGAGATGTGTGAAGTTATTGGGAATAATTTTTGGCATGTTTGATTAATTTTTCTTCTAGCCTGTTGTGTGTGTGTGTGTGCGTGCGCGCATGCATGTGTTCACAGCATTGATTGGTTGGTCATGCTAGATCTAGCCCTGTCTACGTGACATAAAACTGCTGAGTAATCTCCTTTGTTAAGGCCACAGTTTCCTGCCTTGGCGCAATGCAAGTTTCTCTTAAAGCCTCCATGATTGCTGGCTATTGATATTATGGAAATTGCTGGGCCTGCTCTAACAGAAGCACCCTGCTAACAAAGTAAAAAAGGTGTTATCACCCTGGTGCTCTGGGAGATAGTTCCAAGCATGTAAGGCAACAGGAACAAAACAGGGCTGAACCTTTTCAGGGAGCAGGAGACCTTTGGAAGACCAAGGGTGATAGAACTTGAAAATAAGAGCAAAAGCATAAGTGAGAAGCAAAATCTTGGAGGACTTTGAAAGCAAGAGCAAGAAACGTCTGCTAGATCTGAGAAGCGAACAGGGAGCCACTGTTGGGATTTAAATCATCTGGTTTTAAACACCCGTTTGTTTACCACCAAATTGCTAAAGTTTATGTGTTTGCATTCAGAATGGCATGCCTAGTCTCTCCATCATCATTTTATTGCTAGAGATCTTTGAGGCAGGAGATAAGGGGTATTCATGCAAACCCAGCAGGCTGGATTTGTGCTTAAACAGTCTTGCTCTGTTGCCTCACAGGCCAATAACTCTCCCCTGCTCCAGTGTCTGTACATTTAATCAGCATATGAAGTAGTTTTACATTATGAGTGGGAATGCAGAGTCTGCAGGCCACATGTGGTCCCTGTGGCCTGCCTGGGATAGGCTCTGCTGCCCCAATGAACACCACAATTTTTAACTGCCTCCCAAATAAAACCTGTAGTGGAAACAATGCCAAAAGAGCCAAATTTAGCTTACTTGCAAGTGAAATTTGGCCCTTTTTTGTTCTGTGGTCACAACGGAGTGACAAAAGTATTGAACTTAGCTTGGAAACAAGCTACATTGAATCCTTATAGTGTTCTTTATTGCAAAAGAGTGGTTTGCTGCCAACTTTTGACAGGAAAACAGTTTCTTCTTTTTTGAAGCCTTTATGTGGGGCATCCCTGGGCCACCCACAGAGGCCTACCACTGCTTTATGCTTGTACTGATTAACAAATATAGAGATTCTACATGTGAGAAGGATCTTAGTCCAGTTGTCTGTGGCTTCCTTGAATGCATGGGGGTTAGTCTTAAAATTCCTTCCCATGTCTCCTGCCACTATGACTAGACCATGGCTTTGTGGTTGAGGAGGATTTCATCCTAGTAATTATCAACCCAAGCAGGATGTTCTATATGAATGTGAATTTGTATAAGTTTATCCAACAGGGAAGCTTAATTTGATTGAGTTTGAATGAATATTTCTAGTAGAATATTCATGAGGCGGATTACAGAAAGGAATATAATATAAGCAGTTAAGCTTATTTTAGCTTCTGCAGGCACATAATATTATGCATAGCACACAGAGCATCCTTTTTACCCTCTGCCCCCAAAACAGGATGTTACACTTGTTCCTCTAACTTTTTATTCTATCTTACTCTCCTGATTGCAGACAATCACTTGTTCTGCTGCTTGGCTATACACCTTTTACTTCTTTTTGCATAGGACTGCAGGTGGTCTTGCTATCCCAGACTACAGAAAGAAGGGACAGGTGCTGTAACTGTGTTTCAGGTGAGCTACCTGACAATGGCAGTTAGTTGTTCTGATAGTTCTATTTTTCTTTTATACCACAAACAAATCATAACCATATATGCAGACAATCAAATAAAAGTGTTTGTTGTTGAGTAACTATAGTGTCACTAACTTATTTGCAGAGCTAACTTTAATGTTTTCGGGGAGGCAGGGGGGAATTAGTGGAACAAAATGCAGTCAAGCAAGAATATGTGAATATATTGTGGAATGAAAGTTTTTTGCTTTGTGAACTATCCAGAGAATTCTGGCTGTTAGGCAGCAAATAAATACAATGATTGTAAACATCAGTTTTAAAATCAGTTCTACAATTTTGTATGGAATACTTGCTTTAAATAATAAAATTGTAATAATTATGCTTGGTTTTCATTCTTGCATATCTGGTAAGTCAAACACTGAAAGAAAATTATTCGCAACTGGGTCTGGTTAGCCTTCCTTCTTATCACTCTGTAAGTGTTCTATCCTATATGTATTTAGACAGAAAACAGACCACTTCTCTCACCATGCCCTAGCTAGCCATGCTTGAAATTGCAGGACATTTCCCCCCTCTAAACATGCATAGGATTGCACCCGTCTCTGTTGAATAAGAGATTCAAGTTTGCCGAACTGTTCTCCTCCTTGCTTGAATTTGAAAGTGATGAAAAATAGCACAAAATAAAAATGAGAAAAGAGGAGGAAAAAAGGACCCAAGTCTAGTCTAGATTTCTGTTCTTACACCGATCAACCAAATGCCTGTGGGAAACCCCACAAACAGAATGAGTACAACAGCAACATTCCACCCAAGTTCCACAGTACTTGGTATTGGAAGACACCTACTGTGGAGGTGATATATAGTCTTAGTGACTAGTAGCCATTAATAGCTTAAACTTCCATGAAAATAGCAATGTCTGCTTTAAATATGTATAACTATGCTCTGTATATAACCATCATAACCAATATATCATCATAATCTAATCTCTCTCTCTCTCCCCCCCCCCATATTCTCCTTCACTCCTTTCTAGAAATTAAGAAGCCACCAGTGGCCCCAAAACCAAAATTTGTGGTAGGACACAAAGTAGTCCCACCACCAGTGGCACCAAAACCAGATGTTGTTCTTGCTGATATCTTGCAACCCACAAAGAAAACAAAACCAGCAATAGCACCAAAACCAAAGGTCCTCAAAAGCACATCTGTTGCTGAGGTTAAAACTGCACCATTGTCTTTGAGGAAAAGTTCTAAGAGTTTAGAGGAGCACAAAAGGGACTCTTCTGAGTACTTTGTTCATTTGGATTACACAAATGGAGGCCGAAGAGACAATGCTGCTTATATTATATCAGTATGTTCATGCAATTTTGAATGTATTCATAAATTTGGGAATGGAGAGAAGACCTGCAAAAATGCAACCATTTTTGAACAGTTGGAAAACCTAGAGAACATTGATATGGGTGAACAACCATCATCCTCAATGAAAACTAAGATGATATTTGATAACCATAATGAAAAAAATAAAAATAGGGTTGTCTTAAAGGCTAATTTCCTAGAGGAAAAACTCAAAGACGTTCTCACCCAAAGTAACAGTTTTTTGATGCAGAAGCCTTTGAATCCAGTTGGAAAAGAAAACATTAGTGGTTCTAACAATGACATTAATTTAGCATTAGCAGACCTTGTGCCTGCTTCATCTGATTTTGAGGATGTTATGAACCATCCAGATAACCATACAAAAATAGCTAGTGTTGAATCTGAAATGACAGAAGCTCCTTTTTTGACTGAAAACATCAACAGTTGCTGCTTCTCACTTGATCCAACAACTTTGGAAAAAGTGGATAGTGATGATTTGTCTACAGGCACTAACAAAAAAGAGGGTGATGAATCGTTGTCTTCATCTGGAATGCACTGTACTTTAAATAAATCTTTCCCAATTCCAAAACCAAGAAAATTACGTGCTCCTTGTCTAGTCCGCCAAGATGGCATAGATATGCCAGGAGAAGGACTGAAAGAACTCATAGCTTCAGAGTGCAGTTCTGCTGTGTTTTCTGAGTGCAGTGCTAGAAAAGCAGCAAAAATTAGTGTTCTTCAAAGTATATCGTATAAAAATGAAGAAGTTACGCATGCAGCTGAAAAATCAGACATAGCTTCACATTCTGCTGGAAAAATGCATCTACAAAAGGACTCTGCTGATACCAAAGAACAAAACCACTTGCCTGAGGTTCTACATGAAAGCTCTTGCCATACAGAAAGCACTGAAGGTTCTTTGGAATGTAATGAAATAAATCCTTCTGCTGATATAATGGAAGATGCCAGTATGTTGGTTGCTAATAACAATGAAGCTAGCTTTATAAGATGTAGTAATCTTTCTATGAGTTTGCCTAAACAAATAAAGTTATCATGCAATCAGCATTTGCCTGCCTTTGAGAACCTTCATGAATCTATACAAAAGAAGGAGGATACAGATGCCAGCTTAAAAGGCAAAAGTTCTCCTAGAAACATTCCTAAAAAACCTCAAAGGCACAGCATCCCTGCAGCTGGACTATTGAAAAAAGCTGCATCAGCAGAACTTTTAGAGAGGAGTGTTTACCTTTCCAATGAAGAGAAACTTTCAGGATCTCCTTTGGAGGGGCCTCATATAAGGCATGTGTCAACCAAAGAACAAAGTTCTTTGCTACTCTGTGATACTCCAAAATCATGTTTGGAGAAACCTGTTTGGAAATTACCTCATCCTATTCTTCCATTTTCAGGCAAACCAGAAGCCTTAAAAAACACCAAGAATGCAAAAAACTCTGAACTTCCAGGTGTTGTGACAAAACCCCGAGCCAAATCCTTGTCTTCAGTGGATACAGTGAGAATACACAAGCCACCAAAAGAGCCTCAAAAGAAAAATTCATTAAAGAAATTCTTAAATATGAAACTTTCTGTTTCCATAATGAAAAGTGACTTCCAGAAATTTTTGACCAAAGGCAGCCAATCAACAGATGATGCTACTGTTACTTTTTCTAGCACAGAAGGACCTAGCAAAAATCATAATGTATCCAGTATAACAAGTGGAAGAAAAAATAAGCCTTCAAAGGCACATTCTGCAGAAATGGGTGGCTTATCCTCGCAAAAGGAAAAGCAAAGATTCAAGCATCAGGATGAAATGAAAAACAACCAGAGATCAAAGTCTTTAGATGAACAAAACCTCACATCACAAGGACACTTGAATTCTCCCACACATGACTGCATACCAGAATATGAAAATGTGAGCCATTATGAAGAAATCCCAGATTATGAGAATCTACCTTTTGCATCCATTGACAAAAACCCTTGTTTTGAGTGGCACAGTTCCAGGAGTCTTGAAGACCATGATGCAAATGTATATGAGGTGGAAGACCTGTATGAACCTACAAGGAGCTGTTCAGAATTTGGCAGGTAAGACACTGTAGTGGAAAGGTCATAAAGTATGTGTGTAGTATTCTCAAGGTTCTATGCTCAAGGGTTGGTCACATTCTATCTGCAGCCTTTCAAGAACTGAACTGTGTGCATGATGTGGCCATAGCCTCTCATGATTTGCACCCATGCATGGTTCAACCAGGAAGCTAATTGGTTGCTTCCATACATATTCAGTTAAACACTTTTGTTAATGTTCTCTCACCCAAATTTTATGTTCCTCTGTTCCAAGACCATGGGTTATTTGAGAGTTGTTCCCCTCAAAAAATTCATGCCTTCTGGGTTTGGACAAACCATGTCTGGCTGTGTAACTAGGCAAATGGTGCCCAGCATGCACTGTTGCTTGAACAAGCTACTGTTGCTGTTTACGCCATGGTGATTGTGTGAACTTAGCTATTCTGTTGAAGATTTGGTGAATGGCATTTGGATAGATTCAAGTTTGTCTTGATTGCATTGTATGGTAGTCTTCCTAATCTGGTGCCCTCTTTGTGTTTTGAAGTTCAACTCCCATTATCTGTTGGGGTTGTATGAAGTAGCTGGCAGAAGAGCTGTTTTCCTAGCATGCAAAACCCATATGGATATGTTCCTCTTATCAGTCCACACATTTCTCCAGGAGGAAACCAAAAAGTCAATGTGATGAGTTACAAGCTCATTCTACCATCACTCCAAACTCTTGAACCATACACTTTGGAAAACAGTGTAATAACATTTCATGCAGGAGAAAAGATGCTTGAAGTGCTTTCTATATGTATGTGAGTAAACTTTCAGTAATTCATTCTCTTAGGAAACTCACATGTTAAGACCAAAAGATTTAAGTAAGAAAAAGCTTTCATCACAGATTTGCTAGTCTGCTTAACAAGAATGTTACCATTCAGCTTTTAGAGGAAGAAGCTTCATGATTTCCAAACTGTTGAGGAAGAAAATATAAGTGATAGCCTCCTTTTCTAAGAGTGAGGGGTAATTACTAAAATGGCTGTAATCTGTTGCAATTTTAAAAATCTGTTACATACTCTCTGATTATGCCTTTAATTTGCATTGCATTTCTTTTTGCTGAAAAGCCAAGTTTCTTGTTTGGTGCTACACAGTAAATCTCTGAAAGCTGCTGTATAATTGTCATCCTCTATAAAAGTATGTAGCTTCTCCAAGACCAATGTGATTGAAATTTAGATATTCCACAGATTACACATTTCTAAAATGTTTGGGTGGAGTTTCTGGCTCAAACAATGCATATTTTGAAAGGGTTTTTTATATATGTGCTTTCAAATATTTTAAATTAGCGGTTTTCATGGATTAAAAGTCATAGTTTGAGCATGAAAATGGGATGCTTGAATTTATGAGTAAACACACGTGAAAGTGGCATGGATTGAAATGCACCGATTTTTTCCCTAAGGTCTAAATTAGCCAACCCTACAGGCCAGTAATAGAATGTGGAAGTGCTCCATAGAATCTATAACGTTCTTCTGTGTAGAATTATGCTGTTGCATCAAATGAGAAGGAAGCACTAGAAATAGCTATATACTCCCCAGCATTGCTCCCCACATGAACTTCCTGTAATGGCAATGTATTGCCACATGATTATAGAAGAGTATCATAATTTAAGAGTGTAAAGTCACACATAATCAACATGGATGAAAGGCCCATTTGTATGATTGGTCTGCAGCCCTTTCCTGCATGTTATTTTTAATATCAGCAAGCTTGGGAAATAAAAATTAGTGATAGTCACTTTTTCTTATGGTGAAATTTTCTACAATCCTATATTCACTTAGCTTGGAATAAGCCTCAGTGATGTTAGTGACTGAGGGCATACATTTGTGTAGACATGCATAGAATTGTACTGTTTTGAAGTGGTGTACTCTTCTAGATGTGTCATATAAGTGGGTTTGGTGAACTAAATTTCTGACACAAACTGGAGCCTTTGAGATGAGCAGCTCATTCTAGACCAGTGATGGCAAACCTTTTAGAGACCGAGTGCCCAAACTGCAACCCAAAACCCTCTTATTTATCACAAAGTGCCAACACTGCAATAAAACCTGAAAACTGAGGTTCTAGTTTAAAAAAAAAAACAACTCACAGCCAGCCCAAGCAAATATATATATATCCTAGGCAGTGCACTTACCGACCATGCAAAAGCTTGGACAAGTCGCGGCTAATGAGTCATGGCACGTGACATCATCACCTGGTGCCGCTACTCCTTTCCGAGCATGTACATGGCCCATATGTACACTGTTATCCAGTGCTCGGCTGCTGGGGTGATACTGGTGTGACTTGGCTCGTATGCTGACAGAGAGGGCTCTGCGTGCCTGCTGAGGCATGCGTGCCATAGGTTTGTCACAACTGGCCCATCCCTACCTTGGTGCACCCCCCGCAACCCTAATATAGGGCTAAAGTTCCACTGAAAAGAGGGTGATTTTGAAAAAGGCTTCCTTGAGTAGCTTTTTCTGCACAGCTCATCATTTCTGCCCATTCTAAACACATTCCAACCATCAAAATGAAACCAGGACACCTCGTTTTCTAACCCTGACCCTGCCCTGGTGCACACCCCTAACTGTAATATATGGGTAATATACCATTGAAAGAGAGCGATCTTGAAAAAGTCTTCCTTGAGTAGCTTTTTCCACACAGCTCAACATTTCTGCCCATTCTAAACACATTCCAACCATCAAAATCATGCCAGGACACCTCGTTTTTCTAACCCTAACCCAGTGATGGTGAACCTTTTAGAGACCAAGTGCCCAAACTGCAACCCAAAACCCACTTATTTATCACAAAGTGCCAACACTACAATAAAACCTGAAAACAGCCAGTCCCAGCAAACACACACACACACACACACACACACACACACACACACACACACACACAGCAGTGCACTGATGGGCCATGCAAAAGCTCAGACAAGTCGCGGCTAATGTGCCGCGGCTTAGGACATCATTGCCTGGCACCACTACTCTTTTCCAAGCATGCACGTGGCCCCTATGTGCGCTGTTATCCAATGCTTGGCTGCTGGGGCAATGTTGGGGCGACTTGGCTCGTGTGCCAACAGAGAGGGCTCTGCGTGGCTGCCTTGGCACATATGCCATAGGTTCGTCACCATTGTTCTAGACTGTTCCTACAGTATCATTTCATGCCACAGCTGGGAGCCATGTGATTTAATTCTCCCCTTTATTAAAAGCAAAACACAAACTTCCCGCAAAGAAAAGACAAACAGGAGAAGAGTTCCAAAAGCTTAGCTGTCTCCCTAAAATGCCATTTTTTAAAAATGAAAAGGAGTGTGTATGTGGGTGAGAGTTCAATCTCTTGCAGTCTGAAGTGACACAATCTAGGAATAGTTTTGTGTTATGGTAAGCTGTTTGTCTGTTGTTAAATATATTTAGACCAGGTGTTTGACTGGACAGAATCCTTCATCATTTAGTAGTCCTGAGGATTATGGGTCGCTGGGAGGAGAACAGAACTTGACTTAACACTTTGTTTTTAGCTGAGAGAATGGATTGGAGTGAAAGTTCACATCAAGGCAAGAATAGCTTCATTAGCACATAGAAAGGCCCAAAGCAATGCAAGATAGCAAAAGCTGACAAAAGCCTGATGGTGTTGAGACATGTCTCTTCTATTGCTGTTGCTCATATTGTGACCAGTATGTTTACTTGGAAATTATTTAGACATGTTTGCCCATGAATATTTCCTGATCCTCCACACATGTTTAAACTTGGGGAGTTAGCACTTAACACTTATTTGATAAGAAGTTACTCAAATGTTGGGAAAGAGAGAAAATCTATTATTTCTATCATTCCATTACCTAATTGGTATGGAATTATACATTATATTAAAGAAAATGTTGGATCCCCTTTAGCATTCCTACATTGTATTTCTGGCTGTTTTATTAACCGCATATAGATTCAGAAAATAGGTTAGTATGACAGATCTTTCATTGTTCTTCTGATTGGCAAGTGTTCTCATATAAACATTGTTGAGGCAAATGTTAAGGGATTGCTATCTCAGTCAGAACTGGATTTAGATAGAAAGCACAGCACATTGAATATTTTTCAAAATCTTAGTTTAGGTTTTTTATTGGTAAACTGATATCAAACCACAGTTCACTTTACTAAACCTAAAGAGAGCTATGTTTTAATCCAGCCCAGATAGGTGCACTGGCAAAGGGAGGTGACAAGGGAGGAGAGCACAATCTCATTCCCAGCTATTAAAATATACTTTAGCCACCCAGGTAATCTATCTAAAATTATTTCTAAGCCTCCTTTAAGGGTCAGACCCTTTCACATATGTCTGAAAGTGCTAAACAGGTTCCTTTTACATATTTAATCTGCTGCAATGTAGCTTTAGATACTTTTTAGAGTCAATTATCTCATCCTTTATATATTTATTTCCAGCCCTTGGCATTGGAAGCAATTATACTCCACATTTGTCTTTTTTGCTCCACTTATACAAGGTGTGCATAGATGAGAGAGGGAGACAATCTGTTTTTTCAGAGGTCTTGCTGGGTTCCCTGCTATAGGTCAGGGAACCCTTCAAATAAGGGCTAACTGTTGCAAGGAATCTCTCAAGAAGATTAAATGGCTATTAGATTGGCTATTTCAACACCCATGTTGGTTGCATTGCTAGATTTGAGTAGCTAATGTGGAATGACTCAGAGGTTGCTCGAATGTGATGTGCCGCTTGTGCACATCCTCTGCGGTGCTGGCAATCCAGAGGAAGTATTGCCAGACTGAGTTTCAGAAAGGTCTGGTGCCTGAAGTAACCATTGAGTTTGGCTGTACAGCCATACAGGTTCCCACATGAATGTTAGAATTAGGTGTGAAATAGACTGTATTAAGTGGTCTTAGTTATCTTTGCCCTAAAAATGTTTAGGATACTTTCATTTCTATGAAATGAGCTTGATTTAGTCTGCTGTTTCACATGACCTAAGCAAAGTCATGATTTTGAAACATTTGGTTTCAGGCTGGATTGTAAAAAGTGAACATTTATTTTAT